GTTGCCCGGGCGGGTCTTGACCCCACAGGCTCAGGCAATCCACTCACCTCAGCCTCCCAAAGCGCAGGATTACAGGCTGAGCCACCGAGCCTGGCGTCTTTTTCTTTTTCAATTAAAATAAAAAAAAAAAAATAGTGACAGGGTCTTGCTGTGTTGCCTAGGCTGGTCTTGAACTTCTGAACTCAAGCAATCCTCCTGCCTCGGTCTCCCAAAGTACTGGGATGACAGGCGTGAGCCACCACACCCAGCCTGTCTTTTTTAAATGTGAAGAATCTGTAGTCATATCGTCTCTTTCATTCCTGATAATTTTTGTCCTCTTTCCTTCCTGTTCAGTTTGACTAGAGATTGATCCATTCTGATGCTCTCAGAAAAGCAGCTTTTGGTTTCATTGATGTTCATTTTGTACTTTCTTTCACTGACTGTTACTTAGATATTTATTATTTTTTCTTTTGTTTACTTTGGATTTCATTTGCTTTCTCTTTCCTAGTTCCTTAAGGCGGAAGCTGAGGCAATCGATTTGAGACCTTCTTTTCTGTTTTATTTCTAAAATATTTTTTGGAGACAGGGACTCACTTTGTTGCCCAGGCCAGACCGCAATGGTGCAATTATAGCTCACTGCAGCCTTGAATTCTGGGGCTCAGGCAATCCTCTGGTCTCTGCCTCTCAAAGTGTTGGGTTGACAGGAATCCTGCCTGATTCCTTCTTTGACACACGTGCTATTCAGAAGTGTATTATATTCCAAATACTCGGGAATTTTTCCAGTTATCTTTCTGTTATTTATTTATTTATCAATAGCATGGCAAGGATGACTTTATTCAGGACCATTGTGATAGGTGTAGGGACCTGGCAATGGGGTCTTGCAGCGTGAAGAAGAGAGGCTGGGTTGCACTTTGCACTCCCTGTTATTTTTAATTTAATTCCGTCAGGATCAGAGAACATATGAAGCATTACTTGATTCATGATCTTTTTGAGACTTATAATGGCAGAATATAATTTATGTTGTAAACTTGAAAAGAATACAAATTATGCTGCTGTTGGGTGGAAAGATCTATGTAGGTCAGCCAGGTGACATTATTTGGTGTTCTCGTTCGAGTCTTTCGCAGTTATCGAGAGAGCAGTGTCAAATTCTCTGACTATAATTGTGGCTTTGTCCCTTTCTCCTGGTAGTTCTATCAGGGTGCTTCATGAATTTAGAAGCTGTGATATGAGGTGCATAAACATTTAGAACAGTTACATCCTCTTGGTGAACTGACCCTTTTATCATTATGAATAGATACCCCCCCCCTTTATCTCTGGCAATATTTTTTCATCAGAAATCTACTTTGAGTGATATGAATGTAGCAAATTCAGCTTTCTTATGATTAGTACTAGCATGGGATATCTTTTTACCTTTTTTTTTTTTATTTGGAATCTCACTCTACCGTCCAGGCTGGAGTGCAGTGGCACACTCATGGCCACCCCCACATCGACCCACTAGGCTCGAGTGATCAATCCTTCCGCCTCAGCCTTCCAAGTAGCCAGATCTACAGGCACACGCTACCATGCCTGGCTAATTTTTTGACTTATTGTAGAGACGAGGTCTCGCCAAGTTGCCCAGGCCAGTCTTGAACTGATGGGCTCAGGCAGTCCTCTCAGCTCGACCTCCCAAAGTGCTGGGATGACAGGCTTGAGCCATGTCCAGTCTTGTATCTTTTCACTTTTAACCTTTCCTGTGTCTTTATATTTAAAGTGGGTTTCTAATAGGCATCATATAGGTAAGTCTTGCTTCTTTAAACCCACTCTGCTGATCTCTGCCTTTGAAAACATGAGAGGGAATGAGTGGGTTAACTCAACCATCTTGCTATTTGCTTCCGTGGGTCCCATCTGTTCTCTGTTCCTTTCTCCTCTTTCTAATGCTTTCATTTGGATTACGTGTGTTTATGACTCTGATTTATCCTGTATGTTGGCTTTTATCAGCTATGATCTTTGTTTCTTTAGATGCCTTAGGGTTGGTAAGATACATCTTTAAGTTAACACAGTCTACATTCAAGTGATAGTACACTCCTTTACATGCAGTGTAAGAACCCTAAACAGCATACCTCCATTCTCCTCCTTGCCGGGTATCTGAAATAGACCTTCCAAAATGATAGGGAAGGTTCAACTTCCAGTGAGGAAGTAAGCCAGAGGGACCAACAGCACACCAGAGAGTTCACTATGGTTTCTAGAAAATGGAAAGCAGGAAAGTGGCACCCAGAGAGGAAGTGGGGTAAGAAGCAACTCCAGCCAAGGAGGAGAGGGATCACATAGGAGAAAGAGAGCCTGTTAGTCCAGGTGACCCCCACTAGGCACCAAATCAGAGATGTTAGGAGGGGCAGACAGGAACCCAGGGGATGAGAACGCTCCTGTCTTACTGTGCCTCAAAAATTTATAACCTAGAATTTTATATCCAGCCAAACTATCCTTTCAGGCAGAGATTGAGTCAGAAAATGTATCTTCTCTTTTTTAGGAAGTTAGTTGAGGATGCACTGGAGCAAAATGAAGGCATATAATAAGAGAGCTAGGAAGGAAATGCTGTGTCCACCCCAGGAAAGCAGCAAGGCCCAGACGTTAAGTGTACAGAGGCCTCCAACCAGCTCAGATGAATGCAGAAGGACAGAGGGCCCTGGGCAGCAGGTCTAAAAAAAGAAAACCTGATAGAATAGTTGACTGGATGTAGAGGTCAAAGAAGACTAAGACAAGGATAAAACCAAAGAATACAAGACAAAGGCAACTGGAAACTCCAGGAAAAACAAAAAGTTGTATAAGAAGGAGAAGGTAATGGTGGTGCCTTTCCTGGTTCTGCAGTGAATAGTAGTTATGCAGCCACAATAATATAAGCCCTGCTTATTAACTTTCAATAAAAAAAAATCAACATATAGTTTGGAAAGCATGATTGTGGTATGGAACAACGTCAATGTTGCCCATCTTGATATTTAAAAAATAAAACGACAGAAGGGCATGGTGGCAAATGCTTATAATCCCACCACTTTGGGAGGATAAAGTGAGAGGACTGCCTGAGCCCAGGGGCAACTTGGTGAGACCTCATCTCTACAAGAAATAAAAAAAAATTAGCTGGGCGTAGTGGTGTGTGCCTGAAGTTCCAGGTACTTAGAAGACTGAGGCTGAAGGTCAAGGCTGCAGAGGCAATGAATGTGCCACAGTACTTCAGTTGGATGACAGAGTGAGACTCCTACTCAAAAAATAAAATAAAAAATAAATAAAATAAATAGGCCAAGCATGGTGGCTCATGCCTGTCATCCTAAGCACTTTGGGAGGCAGAGGTGGGAGGATTGCCTGAGCTCAGTGATTTGAGACCAACCTGGGCAGCATAGTGAGATCTCATCTCTACAATAAATCAAAAAATTAGGCGTGGTGGCTGTGGTTGCAGCTACTTGGAAGGATCACCTGAGCCCAGCAGGTGGAGGCTGCAGTGGCCGTGATTGTGCCACTGCACTCCAGCCTGGGTGACAGAGTGAGATTCCAACTCAAAAAAAAAAAAAAAAAAAGATAAAAACAAAATAAAGCTATGGCACAGGTTAGTGTTTCTGGGAGGTGGCAGTCAGACAGGAAAGCTGAAGGAAACGGAGGACTGGGAGGGACACTAAAATGTGTCTTACTTCATGGGGTGTCAGAAGATACTCTCCAAAACGGATGAAAAAATAAAAACATAAGCATATTAGGTTGACAAAGGTATCCACAGACCTAAAAACAACTGACACTGGGAGGATGAGGGAGGGTGGTGCCTTTAGAGCAGGAAGGCGTGATGTCCGGGACTGACCGATATGCCAAGAGCGAGTCTGTGAGCATGGAGGGGTAAGAAGGTGACCAAGCAAAAAAGTCATTCGTACGAAACAACTGAGTCATGGGACGAGGGTGTGGTCCAGGGGAGTCTTGCTTCCCACCCTGAATAAGCTCTTCAGTACAATTTGATCACCTGCATGTATTTCTTTGATGGAACTAAAATTTGGTGCTGAGGACAATGACAAACACACGGTCCCTGCCCCCGCCTGCCTCCAAGCCTCTAACTGTGACCACAGAAGACCCTGGAATCTCTATTTCTTCCCTGAATTTCCCCTGAGCTCTTCCCTAAAGGAACCCGCATGCCCCTCGTTCAAAACATGATGCACTCCTTGTGGGAGCAAGCTGTCTCTGAGGTCCTTTGTGTCCTGCTGCGGTGACACCCGGGACTTGCCAGTTCCTGGAGACCTGCGGGATCCCACCCCGTCGTTCTGCTGCCCCCGCCACCCGGCTGCCCCTGAGACCTCTATCCAAGCACACAGCCTCTGGCTGATCCTCCAGTTGACCCAGGCCAGATGCGTGGGTCGTTCTTTGAACCTCTGGCCTCCAGCACAGCGTGGGTGCTCAGCACACGTCTTTGCAAAGAGAGAGATGCCTCCTCTCACCCCTGCAAAATCCTGTGGTTCTTTGGGGGGGGCGGGCAAGGTGAGAGGATTGCCTGAGCCCCAGGGGTTCAAGACCAGCCTGGGCAACTTGGTGAGAATTCGATTCTACAAGAAAATAAAAAAATTAGCCACACACGCCTGTAGTTCCAGCTAATTGGAAGGCTGAGGCGGAAGGATCCCTGAGCCCAGCGGCTCGACGCTGGGGTGGCCGTGAGGTGCCACTACACTCCAGCCCTGGATGATGGAGTGAGACTCCAACTCAAAAACAACAACAATCACAGCAACAACAAAACCCTGCGGTTCAGCCTCCGTCCCTCAAGTTCACGCCCCGCGCAGCCGGCTCTGGCGTGGCCTGCCCGGCTCCATGCCACTGACCCATTTTCCTCTCCAGTCTCTCACCCATGGTGTCCCCTCCCCGATCCCATCCCTCCTTCGTCCTGGCACCCAATGAGACATCTGGGTCACCTGTTCCTCCCCCTCACTCCTGCAACTCCTGCTTCTGATGCTGATCTTGGATGCACCCCCACCTCTTACGACCGGCAGCCACGCACACTTGCAACTTAATGCCCCAGCACCTTTGGTCTTCACACTGCCCAGCGCACAGGGGCCACTACTCTTCCCACAGAGTAAGAGGCCTGCTGGAGGGTCTGCTTGGCTCCAAGCCCCATGCTGCCACTCATTGTGCCGTCTTAAACCTCTTTAGGTCTCCTGTGGGATACCATGTCCCCCTCCAGCTCGGGCTTCTCAGTGACTCCAGAGTGAGCCAACTACATCACACCTCTGCTGGTCACCTCAGTGATTCAGTATGCTCTGACCTCTGCTTGATTTTCCTCTCTTGGCATCCAGTTCCCTGTCCCTTGCCTCAAGCTCCAGCCAACCCAGAGTGTGGCAGGCTCCTTTGCACCCCAGTGCCTTTGCACATGCTGCTACTTATACCTGGAAAGCCCTTTTCTTGCAAAATCCTACTCATGCCTGAAAACCCAGCTCAAATTGCCAGTGTCATCTTCTCTGTGACAAACCCAATTGTCCAACCTCCACTTGAACTTGTTTGATCATCTCAGCAGACTCAAGGTCTGCCGACAAGAGGAAATCCCCAGGAAAGAGCAATGAAAGTCGCAGGGGCGATTTCAGGTGTCTGCGTATGTTTGTTGCCCTACCCGTTTTGGGGAGAGGGATCGCTGCTATCTGGTTGTTGATGTTTCACCCGTTTTTTCATGCTGGCCCATGCCCTCCCGGCAGAAAGGATCCCCAGAAGAAAGCCCCCATTTCGGTGGGGACTGAGCCCCCATATGGCAAGAGGCGCCGCAGGGCACGGCGTGCAGACATCTTTGTTCCCTGGTACAGAGAAGAGTATTGGGTGCCCAGGAGGCGCCCAGTCAGTACTCCTGCCTGTGGGGCTCCGGGCACCCACGGCGGCAAGAGCCGGGCTTTCGGATCATGTGCAGTTGGGGTGACGCCTGCGTCGCCCCCGCGCCCGAGGCCACCGCGCCTCCTGGGCCCGGAAGCAGCCCGCGCCAGAAGCTTGGG